TGGCAGACGCTGCCGTGGTGTTACCAGAGGTGACTGTGGCCGCCGGAGAAGAGGCACAACGCGTTTCGGATTACCCTTCTCGTCTTGCTGTAGCGTAAATGCAGCCACGAGTGGAGCCTGGAATATAGAGACGTCTTGGTCATCGAGATCGAGTTTTGTGACGCCATTGGCAAGCGTCGGGTCGGTGCTCTTGACGACAGCGTTTTTGCTCGTCGAGGACGTCTCTACGGCGTTGGAGTCCTGGTCACTTTCCCTTCTTCCAGTATTGCTAGTTATGTCAGTGCCCGTCACTTGTGTACTTGAGGGTATGATGTTTGTTTGAATGTCAATCGGCGTCGAGACATCCGTCTCTGGTTTCTCTTCAGCGATGGTCGTCTTCTGTGATTCCCTTTGCTGATCTTGGAAGAATATGGCGCTGTCCTGTGGTTTCTCTAAGAAAGACGCCGTCTCGTGTCGTTGTAAGTCTTCGGGCGGCTGTGTCTTGTCGTCGGGGACATCGTAGTCGATTACGCTGACGTCGTCAGCTGGCTGTGAGTTTTGTTCGTCTAACACAATCATTTCGTTGTTGTCCTTGGGTGTGTCTGGAGGCTGCGGTTCCTTCGGGGGCTGAAAGCCGTTCTCGTAGTTTCCTAACAATTCCTCGAGGTCACGTTTTATGTTGGCCTCCTGCTCGTCGCTCCCGGAGCCTTCACCTGGAGGGGTGGTGTTTCCTGTGGGGTCCGCTCCGGCTGATTTACTCTGCGCCTCGAGTTCCAGCTGCGTTAGAGCGCGGAGCAAGGCGCGTCTGAGCGCGGGGTCCAGTTTGAGGGGCGGCGAAGGCGGATTCCCGCGGTCCGCGTTGTTCCAAATCAGGGACGAAGTTTCTTCCGATTGCTTCGCGATGCAGAAGTTGCCTAGGAGACTGGTTATCAACATGAGCACTACCTGCGGGACAGAAACACGTGCCATCAGAATTTAACATTTTATAATACTTGAGGATACGCCAAGACCGTCATAATTTTTTAATTTCTTGCAATAATCATCATCAGTATGGCGGCCATGCGAAGTTTGGTATGTTAACAACATAGGAGTTCACCGAAAAATATTTTAAAGATGAAATCAGCAGGTTAATGTAAGAGGGTGGGTTGGATGCAACAGAGGCATATATCCTTAGGAATAAAATAAAAAAAACTCTTTCAACATAATAGCTGTTTATAAAATGGCTGTCGAGTCCTGAAAGTAAGAGAATTTGGTATATAACGGTATAGGACAGTGGTCTGTCGTCCGCTCTGCTCGGGGTCGTAGGCTTACCACCGCTGATGTTTGCTAGTGTTCTCCCTCTTACGCATTTACACATACCGGAAACCACCGTCAACTACTACGTGTGAACCCTTTCACGTACGAAACGACGAAACCAAGTGAATTCTTGCAACAGTATCATATTATCACCTGCACAGCTCTTGCGCAGCTGGAGTGAACAGCGGCCTAGCAACCAGGACGATCTTAACTCGCGTGCTGCGTAGAAGGTTGAGAGAGTCTGTTGTACAGAGTGGACCTGCTTCTGATTTCATATTTCACCGTAGTATATGATTGCTGTCGGGTTGAGTTTTAAATGGCACACTCTGTATATCGCGAATGCTAAAGGTCAAGACATACGAGGTGCGATCGCAAAGTTTCAAGACTGCGCCTATAAAAATCCGTACACTTATCTCAGGTATTAAATTCACCCTCGAAGTAGTTCCCCTGGGAGTGAACAAAACGATCCCAGCGCCGCTGCCTGTTGCAAGATCTTTGAGCTCCTGACAAACGAGAAGTCGATTCTGCTTCTGGTCCTCAGACAGGAGCCTTGGTTTCGCATGTGGAGTTCTTCCTTTAGAATCAGCTGACAGGTCCCAACAATGTCGCACAAGTCGTTATGGTACGACGTCGATCTTCGTGAATGGCCTGCCGAATCTTGGTAACATTTTCGGGCGTTGTGCTCGAAGATGGTCGTCCAGAACGCTCGTCATCATCGACAGGGGTTCGGCCATTTTTAAAACGTGAATGCCACACAAAAGTTTGTGCACGACCCATTGCGGACTCCCCAAATGCTTGCTTTAGCATTTCATAGGTTTCCGTAGCCGTTTTGGCGAGTCTTTGGCAAGAGATTCAGGCAGAATCGCAGATGGTGCTTGACAGGCTGACAAAGAAAGATTTCCAGGGATGCTTCCAGGCTTGGCAGCGGCGCTGGGATCGTTGTGTCCACTCCCAGGGGAACTACTTCGAGTGTGATGGATGAATTTAATACCTGAGATAAGTGTACGGGTTTTTATATGCTCAGTCTGGAAACCTTCCGATCGCACCTCGTACATTATGCCCACAATTGTCGTAAAAAATAATCCAGATTTATTTCTTTCAATTTTATTACGATAAAGAGGAGAGCAGCGGGAATATTTCCACTCTTGATCAGGGTTTAGAAAGGAGTGAAATTATTTATTGTTTGTCCGATTCCGTTTAAAATTTTATAAAAGATATTATTTCCGTCCTTGTTCGAGATGTTATCTTGACTTACCGACATTAACGTTTATGTTGTAAGACGTAAGAATAAATCTGACTCTCGGTTAATCTGTGTAACCAAATGCCACCCGTCTGTAGCAGTTCTCAGGGTATAAAATATAAAAGAACGAAACAAAAAAAAATATCTCGTGAAATCTTGCATGTTTACGGCAATATGTTTCAGAGACGAGACGTTCTGTCACGGAGAAATTCCAGCAGACGATAAGTCGGCTGCGACCTCCATATTGCTACGTTGTAGATACGCGGAAGCCGAGTTTCACTTGTTTATGGGCGTGCTGCGGGATGCAGCAACTGCGGGAAACCTCGAGACACTGCTATTCAAACAAAATTACTTTTCGTACAGCGGCGAATACAAGTGAATTTTCTCGAAAAG